GTGGTGTTAGCAGTAGGTTTTTCATAGATGCCCTTGCAGAAATTACCTTTTTTTTTTTTTTTTTTTTTGAGAGAGAGAGAGGGAGAGAGTGAACACGTTTGTGCATGTTAGCATGAACTTGGAAGGGGCAGAGGGAGAGGGAGAAAGAATCTTAAGCAGACCCAATGGTCAGCACAAAGCCCGACTCAGGGTCTGATCTCATGACAGTGAGTTGGACATTTAAAAGACTGAACCACCCAGGTGCCCCGGAAATTACCTTCTGTTACAAGTTATAAAGTCTTTTCTAAAATCATAAATTATTATTGAATTTTGTCATTTATTTTTTCTGAATTCATAGGGAAGATGAATTCTTTTTAGTCTGTTGATATAATAAATTATTTTGATTTAAGCATAGGGTATTATATTAGTTTCATGTATACAATATAATGATTCAACAATTCTATACATTTCTTAGGGCTTATCAAAATAAGTGTACCCTTAATCCCTTTTATCTGTTTTCCTTATCCTTCCATCCACCTCCCCTCTGGAAACCCAATATGTTATCTGTATTTGTTATCTATATCCTTTTTTTTCTTTGTTCCTTTGTTTCTTAAATTCCACATATGAGTGAAATCATATGGTATAGTCTTTCTCCGTTTGACTCATTTTACTTAGCAGTATACCTCTAGATCCATCCATGTTGTTACAAATGGGAAGATGTCATTCTTTGTTTATGACTAATAGTCCATAGTATAGATTGTACCATGTCTTCTTTTTTGTTTTTTGTTTTTAAATTTTTGATGTTTATTTATTTTTGAGAGAGATAGACAGAGACAGAGCATGAGTGGGGGAGGGGTAGAGAGGGAGGGAGACACAGAATCTGAAGCAGGCTCCAGGCTCTGAACTGTCAGCACAGAACCCAACATGGGGCTTGAACCCACGGACCATGAGATCATGACCTGAGCTGAAGTCTGATGCTTAACTGACTGAGCCACCCAGGCGCCCCGTATCTTTTTTATCCAATTGTCTATTGAAGGGCACTTGAGTTGTTTTCATGTCTTGGCTATTGTAAATAATGCTACAGTAAACATAGGGATGCATGTGTCTTTTCAAATTAATGTTTTTGTTTTCTTTAGGTAAATACCCAGTAGTGGAATTACTGGATTATGTGGAAATTCTAATTTTAATTTTTTGAGGAATTTCCATACTGTTTCCCACACTGGCTCCATCAATTTGCATTCCTACCAATAGTCCATAAGGATTTCTTTTTCTCCACATCCTTACCAGCATTTGTTATTTCTTGTGTTTTTGATTTTAGCCATTCTGACAGGTGTGTAGTGAATTGTTTTAATTTGCATTTCCCTGATGATTTGTGATATCGAGCATCTTTTCATGTGTCTGTTGGCTATCTGTATGTCCTTTTTGGAAAAATGATTATTCAGGTCCTCTGCTCAGTTTTAATTGGATTATTTATTTTTGTTGACATTGTGTTGTATAAGTTCTTTACATAGTTAGATTTGAACCCCTTATCAGATATATCATTGGCAAATATCTTCTTCCATTCAATAGGTTGCCTTTTTGTTTTGTTGATGGTTTCTTTGTGCAAAACTTTTTATTTTGGTGTGGTCCCAAGAGTTTAATTTTGTTTTTTGGTTTTTTTAATGTTTATTTTATTTATTTTTAAATTTTTTAATGTTTATTTATTTTTGAGAGAGAGAGAACAGAGCACAAGCGGGGGAGGGGCAGGGAGGGAGACAGAATCCCAAGTAGGCTCAAGACTCAGCTGTCAGCACCGAGCCCAACCCAGGGCTCAAACCCACGAATCGTGAGATCGTGACCTGAGCCGAAGCCGACGCTTAACCAACTGAGCCACCTAGGCGCCCCTAATTTTGTTTTTGTTCCCTTGCCAGAGGAGACATGTCTAGAAAAATAATTCTATGGCTCATGTCAAAGAAATTACTTACCTGTGTTTTCTTTTAGAAATTTTATGGTTTTAAGTGTCACATTAAGGTCTTTAATCTATTTTGAATTTATTTTTGTGTATGGTATAAGAATGTGGTTCAATTTCATTCTTTTGCATGTAGCTTTCCAGTTTTCCCAACATGATTTGTTGGAGAAATGGTCTTTTTCCCATTGTATATTTTTGCCTCCTTTGTCATAGATTGATTGACCATGAAAGTATGGATTCATTTCTGGACTCTATTCTGTTCCATTGATTTCTATCGGTTTTTGTGCCAGTACCATACTGTTTTGGTTACCACAGATTTGTAGTATATTTTGAAATCTGGGATTGTGATATCGCCAGCTTTTGTTCTTTTTCAAAATTGCTTTGGCTATTTAAGGTTTTTAGGGGGTTCTGTACAAATTTTAGGATCATTTGTTCTAATTCTGTGAAAACTGTTGGTGGTATTTTGACGGGGATTGCATAAAATCTGCAGATTGCTTCGGGTAGTATAGACATTTTAACAATATTGGTCTTCCTGTCCATTAGCATGAAGTATCTTTCCGTTTATTTGTGTCTTTTCCAATTTTTTTTCATCAGTGTTTTATAGTTTTCAGAATATAGATCTTTGGTTGGCCTCATTGGTTAAGTTTATTACTAGTATTTTATTCTTTTTGGTGCAGTTATAAATGGGATTGTTTTCTTAATTTCTTTCGGCTACCTCATTATTAGTGTATAGAAATTCAACAGATTTCTGTATATTAATTTTATATCCTGTGGCTATATTGAATTAATTGACTCAGTACATTGATTTTTTTAATTGGTATTAACTGTTTAATTAGCCATGCATTCCTAGGAAGAACCCACTGTGTAATAATGTTTTTTAATTTATTGACGGACTTCATTTGCTAAAATTTTATTAAGGTTTTTGTATCTATGTTAATGAGAGATACCAGTCTGTGGTTTACTTTTCTTGTGACATCTTTGTTAGGCTTTCATATCAAGCCTAATAGAATGAGTTGAGAAGTATTCTTTCTTCAAAAGAGTTTATATAGAATCAGTGTTTTTATTACTTTAAATGTTTGTTAGAATTCACAGGTAAAGCCATTTGGAACTGGAGTTTTCTTTATGGGAAAATGTTTAGCCACAAATTTAGGTTTTTTATGACTCATCAGGTTTTCTGTTTTTCTCTGAACGAGTGGTATAGTTTGTGTCTTTTAAAGAACTTGTACATCTCATCTAATTTGTTCACTTTATTAAATTTGTTCATAATATTTCCCCATTACCATTTTAATGTTTGTAGTAATGTCACCTCTCTTGTAACTAATGTTAATAATTTTTGTTCTTTTTTCTCTTGTAATTAGCGTGGGTGATTTTGTTGACCTTCTCAAAATACCAACTTTGGGTTTCTTTGATTTTTTTTCCCTCAGTTTTCTTTTTGTTTTTCTATATCATTGATTTAAGGTTTTTTAATCATTATTTTTTCTTCAGTTTACTTTTGATTTTATTTGCTCTTTTTCTTATGGTAGAAGTTGTCATTAATTTGAGAGCTTTCATTTTTCTCATATAGGCTTTTAGTTCTGTAAATTCTCATTTGAGTACTGCTTTTGTTTCACCCCAGAAATTTTTATTTTGTTTTTATTTTCAAATAGTTCATAATAATTTCTTATATTCTTACAGATTATTACTTCTTTGATTCATGGATGATTTAGAAGTGTGTTTTTAGTATTCAAACATTTGCAAATTTTTCTTGTTACTTTTCTCTTATTTATTTTTAATTTAATTCTATTGTTAGATCATATTTAACATAATATCAGTGTGGTTGCTTTGAAATCTTTGTACTTCATTTTTCTTTCCTATGTGTATTACCTTTTCTCTGTTCCTGTTTTCCTCTCTTTCCAATTTCTTGAATTGTGTATTTTTAAAAATAAAACCATTTTATTTACACTATTGATTTATTTGGTTATTTCTCCCCTTTTTGTGGTTTCGCTAAGGTTTATAATAGACATCTTTATTTTATTTATTTATTTGTTTGTTTACATTTTTATTTTTGGGAGAGATAGTGGGAGTGGGAGAGGCAGAGAGAAAGGAGGATAGAGGATCTGAAGTGGGCTCCATGCCGACAGCAGTGAGCCTGATGTGGGGCTCGAACTCACAAACTGAGAGATATGACCTGAGCCAAAGTTGGATGCTCAACTGACTAAGCCACCCAGATGCCCCTATAATAGACAACTTTAAATTGTCACTGATTTAGATGTATAAAAAGCTCAGGTAAACTCTTGACATCAAGAAAGTGGAATACTAGCTAATATGTTAAAAAAACAAAAAGATACTAGAAAAAAATCCAGATGTTCTTGTAATTTGCTGTAGCAACACAGAGTTCTTTTGGTGTTCCTCAAATACCTCACACATATTCTTGCCTCATTGCCTTTGTACCTACAATCTTTCTGTGTGGAACATTCTTTTGCTAGATATTGTCAGTGTCATATCTCTTGTCTTTATCTGCTGTGATACTCTTAACCTGATCAGAGAGGTCTCTCCCTATCATATTACCTAAAAGAGCCATTCCTGCTCCTCATTTCTGTGTTCCTATTTTGACTTTTTTTTTTTTTTTTTCATGATACTGATTGCTCTCTGCAGTTATATATTTGCTTGTTTGGATTCTCCTGTTTGTTCATCTTTGAATCCTTGACTCTCTCAACTATGCCTGGTAGTCAATGATCAATAAATATTTGTTAAATGAATGATAATCATTCATGTTTGTTTCTGTATAGTCTTCTTAGAAAAGACACCTAATCTCCCTGATTACTGAAAACTTAATCATTTAATTGGATTTTAGTGTGAAATTCAAATTTATTACTCAAAACCCCTTCTTATATTTTTGAGTTTAACAAATGAAATATTACAAAGAACTTAGTATCTGCTGTATTTTTTCCTTTCAAAGACTTTCTAATGGTCTTTTGCTCTTGATTTTTGAGTATTTATCCTAAACAAATAATGTAAATTTCACTCTCATTCATAAATATAACTGTTTATGGGATTACAGACTAAGTAATTAATTTGAATTGTTTTGTTCTAGTTCCAAAAATTGAGACATGATCTTGAATTGGTACTCTCTACTCTTCAGTCAAAGAATGAAAAGTTAAAGGAAGACTTGGAAAGGTATATTTATATTATAATTGCCTTTAGTCACAGATATATGTTGAATTGGCATTAATGTTTTATTTGGCTATTGTTGGTTTTGTTTTTCCATGTTTAAAGGGAGCAACAGTGGTTGGAGGAACAACAACAGATATTGGAATCTCTTAATGTAGTGCACAGTGAATTGAAAAATCAGGTTGTGACAATTTCTGAATCAAGGTATTAATTTTGTATTCTAGGTTTTTGAAATAGGAAAAAGTTTTTTAAATGTTAACATGAAATACATAGATGAAAATAGGGGAAATTTTATTAGAAATTGTGAGTTTTACTTTAATTTTTGCCAACTGTTAGTTACATGGCCTTTTATTAATGACTTGACCTGTCGTTTCCTTATATGTTAAACAGAGAATTTTACTTTCATAAAGCTAGTTACTTGGTTTGAACAAACGAAGTTTGAACAGTGTTTGATCAACTTTATGAGTAACCAGTTACATATACTCATTATTTTATGTATTTTGTCAGTAAAATATTTCTCTTAATTTTTAAAATACCCATTAGAATCTTAGATGAGCTGAACACTAAAATGCATGATATAAAGGAATATAAGGAAAAGCTCTTGATTACCTTGGGTGAATTTCTGGAAGATCATTTTCCTCTGCCTGATAGAAATGTTAAAAAGAAAAAGAAAAAGGTAAGTTTTAGAGAACAAATTCATGTAGCTATTTATATATGAGATTGTTTCACATAGGTTCAAATGTAAATTTTCTGATAAATTTTTGTAGTTTATTATACATTTCAAAGACACACAGATACATGTAAAGAAATCTTCCATCATCACATTATAATACTTTTTGAAAAATTAGAAGCAACCTAGTTGTTCAATAAAATAAGATTAAATACATTTTTTTTCTTTTTTTTAATGTTTTTTATTTATTTTTGAGACAGAGAGAGACAGAGCATGAGCAGGGGAGGGGCAGAGAGAGAGGGAGACACAGAATCTGAAGCAGGCTCCAGGCTCCGAGCTGTCAGCACAGAGCCCTACGCGGGGCCTGAACTCACAGACTGTGAGATTATGACCTGAGCTGAAGTCGGACACTTAACCGACTGAGCCACCCAGGCGCCCCAAATATTATATCCATATAGTGGGGGAAAATATACCTTTTAAAAATAACATATTGAACTACCAAAAGAGTTATTAAAATGCTGACAATTTATTATTAAATTGATTAAAAAAACAGCTAATTAGCGGGCTTTGGGGCGCCTGGGTGGCTCAGTCAGTTAAGTGTCTTCACTGCAGCTCAGGTCATGATCTCACGGTCCGTGAATTCCAGCCCCCCGTCAGGCTCTGGGCTGATGGCTCAGAGCCTGGAGCCTGCTTCTGATTCTGTGTCTCCCTCTCTCTCTGCCCCTCCCCCGTTCATGCTCTGTCTCTCTCTGTCTCAAAAATAAATAAACATTAAAAAAGTTTAAAAAAACAAAACAAAACAAAACAAAAAAACAGCTAATTAAATTTTATGAGTCTAATTTGTACTAAAAAATGTAATAGTGCCTCTGTATGGAGGCTAAGATTTTAGGTGAGATTTGTTTTTGTTTTTACTCTTTTCAAAATTTTCCATGATGAGCATACGAAACATTTAAAATCCAAAGATATCTGTTAGTTAATGTGAGTTCTTGACTATTTAACTAGTCAAATTTAACTATTTAACAATAGTTCTTGACTATTTAACTAACTAGTAGTTACTGTGTAACAGACCTTTTTCACAAAAGCAAATAAATATTTCATTTGGTGACAGAAGATTGGGAATAACTACTTTAATTCCTTTTTCAAAAACAGTGTATACTATAAATAAAGAGAGCTTGTGGAAGTGGGGAAGGCATTGAAACTGGCACCAGAATGATTTTTCTAAAATATATATTTTAATTATTTTTTAACATAAAACTGATAGTTCCCTTCTAGAAGTCTATAAACTCCTTAGAGTAATGAATTTATATTCGGGATTTTGCCTATCTCTTTAGCCTCCTTTCTAACCATTCTTTATTTATCTCTTGCATGAATCCATTCAACTGTACCCTGTAGTTCCAGCAAGTATGCAATGACCTTTTTGTGTCTTATACGTTCTGTTCCTTCTGCTTACAAAACATTTCCTGTCTGATGAAGATAGCAAATTCTTACTTAAGTCACTTCAAACATCATCCTTTAATACTTGTGTGAAGTATTAAATGCAGTTTATGTGTCATTTTATTAGCATTACCACATGATTTTGTAGTAATCATTTATATCTATCTCTCTTTTCACCCACCCTGCACTCTTTATGTGTTGAATTCCTTTATGTGTTGAATTCATTTTTGTAGGTCTATTATCTTGCTTATGTATTCTAGTATCTTCTGAGTTCTTATTTATTTGTTTGTTTTTATAAATGTTTTTTAATTTTTGAGATAGAGAACAAGCATAAGTGGGAGAGGGGCAGAGAGAGGGAGACAGAGGATCTGAAACAGGCTCTGAGCTGACAGCAGCAAGCCAGATGTGGGGCTCGAACTATGAACTGTGAGATTATGACCTGAGTCAAAGTTGGATGATCAACTGACAGCCACCCTGGAACCCCCATGAATTTGTATCTGTTGAATGACTGTGACTATATTAGGAAAAGAAGAGGAAGTTTTCTTTGTTTTCTTATAATCTGTGTTTTTTATTCTTATTCTTCCCCTTCTTCATTGTAACTATGTGTTTCCCATTCTACCCATTGTTATTTGTATACTTTGTTCATTTCTAAAATTGTTGACAGCCTTCTGTTAACCATTTGATTAAGTTCATGATTCCTTACCTCTTAATGATCATAATCATAGAATAACTCACATTTTCTGATTCCAGTCTTGTTTTGTTTTCACCATTTTCTTTAATCTATCAAGCTTCTCTACCAATAGAACCAGAGTTAAAGGATTCTGAAAGGAATCATTGATCACAGAAGCCATTATGGGTTTATTGTTAAGTTACATTTGATAAACTCACATTTTTAAAATGAAGTATATGGACCATTAATACATGTTACACAATGATAGAGTACTCATTTTTTTTTTTTCTCTCCCTTTGTCTGTCAAGCAGTAATACTGGATATATGAGTTAGCTTAAGCTGCTAGAGAAAAATACCATAGATTAGATGGTTTAAACAAAAGAAATATATTTTCTCACTTTTCTGGAGGCTAGAAGTCCAAGATCAAAATGCCATCTGAGTTGGTTTCTGCTGAGGCCTTCTTTGCTGGCTCTGGACAGCCATCTCTTGCTGTGTCCTCACATGGCCTTTTCTCTTTTCGAGTGTAGAGAGAGCTCTCTGGTGTCTCTTTCTCTTCATATAAAGACACCATTCCAGTTGGATTAGGGTCCCACCCTTACGGCCACATTTAACTTCACTTACCTCCATTTCCAAATGTAGTCACCAAGGAGGTTGGGACTTGAACATGTGAATTTTGAGAGAAACAATGCAGCCCATAACACTGTGTTTTGTCATTCAAAAATATGTACAAAAAAGAAAGAAAAAAACCCTGAATCCCTCCACCGTATTGTTAACATGAGGTGAACATCATTTGACACATCTTCATAAACACCTACATATATAGAAGCATAAATGGATTGATAGATGTTCAGATCAATGTAGTTTTGTATAGACGAGTATAAAATAAGTATTAGATGGGGTACCTGGGTGGCTCAGTCCGTTAAGCATCCAACTATTGATTTTAGCTCAGGTTATGATCTCATGGTTTGTGAGTTCAAGCCCTGCATTGGGCTCCACACTGACAATGTGGAGCCTGCTTGGGATTCTCCCTCTCCCTCTCTCTGCACCCCTCCCTAACTTGTGCACATGCACGTGTGTGCACACTCTCTCTCTCAAAATAAATTTAAATAAACTTAAAAAAATAAGCATGAGATGTAATTTTACTTAAATTGATAGAAGAGAAATGTTAACTCAGATAAATATTTTTGTGCCTCAAGTTATTTTAGTTCTGGAGAGGTCCCTAATATAGAGAAAAAACAAATTATGAATAACATTATAAAAGATTAAAAGACCTAAAAAATGTTCATCTTTCAATTTTAGGCAGTATTCACTCACTCCCTGCTATTAAAGATGAAGAAATTAGCATTCTTCCTATAATACCATTACAATTTGTTATTTGTTTTAACTTTGGCAGGTTTATAACATTTTTATTCTGTCTCATAACATTATTTATATATGTGTTTCATGTTCACATTGTATTGGATTCAATGCTTATCATCTTTGACCATTTATTTTTGAGTTTTTAAGTTAAACTAATTGATTTGATTGGTTTCTTTGAGAAGTAATTTGTTCAAGCAGAATTCCTGGGCATTTTATTTTTTGGATTCTTGACTGATAAAAATGCTTGGTTTGCCTTTATATGCAAAGGATATTTTTGGCACATTAAAAAAAAAAAATCTCAAGACCTGGTAGGGATAGTTCCATTCTTCCGAAATAGGATGTGCTGGGCCATCATGTAGATAGCTAGGCCAGCCTGTAGATATCTTTCTGCTTCTGAGTATATGTCTGAAGAGTTCTTTATCTTTGACCTTCAGTAATTTAACAGATACCTTACAGTGTTGATCATTCAGTATCATTTTTGTTTTGAAGATGACATTGTTTTTTTTTTTTTTAATTTTTTTTTAACATTTATTTATTTTTGAGACAGAGAGAGACAGAGCATGAACAGGGGAGGGGCAGAGAGAGAGGGAGACACAGAATCTGAAACAGGCTCCAGGCTCTGAGCTGTCAGCACAGAGCCCGACGTGGGGCTTGAACCCACAGACCGTGAGATCATGACCTGAGCCAAAGTCGGACGCTTAACCGACCAAGCCACCCAGGTGCCCCATAGATGACATTGTTTTTAGGGGCAAATTTAGGTCACATTTCGTTCAGTGGAATATTATGGTTTATATTATTTTTCATATCCTTATGTTGAAAGTTTTTTTTTTCTGCTCTGCTTTCATTATATTTTTCCTCTGCTTTTTCTTTGATTGTCTCAATCTGTGCTTTTTTGCTATTTATTTCTGTATCAGTTCTTTAATTCTGTTTCTTTCCTCACTAGTGAATGCTGCTTTTCTACTTTTTTTTTTTTTAATTTTTTTTTTTTTCAACGTTTATTTATTTTTGGGACAGAGAGAGACAGAGCATGAACGGGGGAGGGGCAGAGAGAGAGGGAGACACAGAATCAGAAACAGGCTCCAGGCTCTGAGCCATCAGCCCAGAGCCTGACGCGGGGCTCGAACTCCCGGACCGCGAGATCATGACCTGGCTGAAGTCAGACGCTTAACCGACTGCGCCACCCAGGCGCCCCAGAATGCTGCTTTTCTAAACCACTCTTTCATTTAATAAGGTATTAGAGGTCAGGAGATTTTGAGGTCTAGCTTTACTATCTTTATTCAGGAATCACATTCATTTTCACTATTTCTTTAAAATATTTGTAGTTATGTAAGACTTTATAAGGGCTCCAAGGTAATCTTTGACTGGTATCAGGAAAGTACAAGCTGTCACTGTGGTAGATGACTTTGCATTTAATTAAATGTCTGAACTGAAAAGCTGCTGATTAGGATTAGTATTATCTTGGAGGGAGATTTCTAGCAGAACCCCTTTAGATGTTGTCCTAGATAGTAAATATGTTGAATGATAGAATTAGGACTGTATTTTTCAGCTGACTAGACCTGGGCCAAATAAAATATTTAGTGAGGGACATAAAATATCTTTCTTGGGTTTGAAACATTAAAGAATGAAGGAGACATATCTCAGCTAGATGTATGAAAGAGGCTTAGACATTTTAGATGATGATATGCTGAGAGGTCAGCAGGGCAAAATTGATATCTAAAAGGTAATGAATAAACTTAATAAAATTCCAGCATCTATACAAGTATGAAAGTGAGTCTTCCTTTTCATCTTTGGTGTTTGAGTCACACTTGTATCATATGGAGACTGGTTTGAAAAAGAAAAAAAGATAAATTAGAGCACATTTAGAGAGCAACTATGATATTGAGGGGCTGCAAGTGTACAAATTATGAAAAATAATTGAAGGAAGTAATGACAATTAATATGGCCAAGACTTGGGGCTTATAATACCCATCTTCAAATACTTGAGGAATCTTGGATTGCATTGGAATGGGATTTATTCTCTATCATTCCAAGGGAAAAAGAAGCAATGAATTGAGTTAACATTAACAACTGTCAAGAACTCTAGAAAGTTGAACAAGGCTCCCTGGGAAGTAAGTTTCCTGTCCCGAAGCTGTATAAATAGGGTTTGGAATGCCATTTGTTTGAGATATTTTGATTGGAAGGCTCAAAAATTAGACTGTGTTTTACATGAGTATATGTAAAAAAATATAATTTATCCATTATTTATTTATAGGTAGTCTGAATTGTACCTTCTAGTAATTCACTTTCTTAGAGGTTGTTTGAACTTTGTTTTTATGAACGTGACTGTGTAGTACAAGCAGATTGTTTACTTTCAGAATTCTTTTAAAATCACCTAATTCTAAATATTTGGTTTTGGTATACCTTGTACCATTGCAGGTAAGAAATACTAATTTTTAAAAATTTCGTAATAAATATAGTTTAATATTCTGCCACTGGTAGAACTGAGATGTTAATTCTTTGTTATTCACATTTCTGTCAAAGACAAACATTCAAGAATCAACTGCACAGCTGATAACACTGCATGAAATGTTAGAGGTAAGCATTTTGTGTAGTTGTTTTGTCTTCAAGATTTCTTTTAATTAGTGATTTCTAAACAATTATACACAGGCTTGAAACAGAAAATACTGCTTTAGTTCTTAAACATACCAAATTTTATTAAATCAATTTTTATTAATTTATCTTTACTATAAGATAGTTTGTTTTCTATCCATTACTAGAAAGAATATTGTCATTTTTAAAAAAGAACGTAGTTAGAGACTAGCCCTTAATCATATTCTTAAGATTATTACTTTAAAAAAAATTTTATGATGTTATTTATTATTTGCACAGTGAAACCCTATGCTTTTACATTGATGGAATCTTTAGTTGGCACCTCTGTACTCTATCTGAACTACATATGTGAGTTTAAGGATTCTTTCCACATAGTTGCAGAAATCTGTACACAGTTTTGAACATGTTTCCATTTATTAATATGTAGTTTTTTTAAAAAGGAAGAAAATCGCTTATTTAAGTTAATACATGGAAATTATGACAAGCAATTATTCAAAGAGAAAAGAGATCAACATTCTTTGGTAAACAAATTTTTAATGTTTTATTATAGCTGTATCAGTTTTTTACTAAGGTATTATGAACGGTATTTTTTTTCTAGATTCTTTTAAATAGATTATTTGATGTTCCACATGATCCATATGTCAAAATTAGTGATTCTTTTTGGCCACCATATATTGAGCTGCTCCTGCGTAATGGAATTGCCTTGAGACATCCAGAAGATCCAACCCAAATAAGATTAGAAGCCTTCCATCAGTAAAAGGATGGTCTCTTTTTTCACACAGTACTTAATGAATCTTGTCATTCAAGGATAATGGAAACACTGAGGATTACTTGGACAAAGAACATTATTTGCAAATCAAAGCACATAGTCCCTCTTCCTTTCATCCATAAAATGACACATGCCACCTACAATTTATAAATGGTCCTTCACATTCAATTAGTACCTTGGTGTTTTCAACTCGATGGAAAAGAATGCAAGTAAAAAACATTCTAGACTTAATCATAATAAACTTTTGATGTATCTTCTGCAGTATTCTTTGTTAATTTATGATACTGTTACTGTAATGTTTTCCTTTTGAATTTGTGACAGTTTATTTTATGTATTTTGAGTTCCATTTGGAGCTTATATCTCGAAATTTAGCAGTTATAATGGAAAGGCCATTTAATTTGTAGATGGCTTTAAAATTGACAATATCTGATATAGAAGGAATCGTAATTTAAAAGCATGTAGTAAATCTGTTCCATGTGTACTGCCTTATTTCTAGATTTAAAAATTGGAACAGAAACTAACGGATAAGTGTAGCATGAAAACTATATCTTAATATGTATTATATAACAAGTGATATATATTAAACCATGCTGTTTCTGTTTATCATTGCTAACAAAATTGTGTTCATAAAATTTTGTTAATTCTCCATGACCTTTCTGTAAATAAAACTCTTTGGTCTAAAAGTCTCTCTACCTTTTTTGGTGATGTGGCATGATATTTTAATAAATTAAATAGACTTTTTCATAGGTAGAAAAGTGAGGATATTATAGGACTCATTCAAGATTACATATAATCTAAACTAGAGAATTCCACATGCTTTTAGTACCATTAATTTTCTAAGAGGATGTAGTGTGTACTTTTATATTTGAAAATGCGGTCTGCTGTTTATCCACATTTCTTGCTTACCTTCAATACTTCATCTTTTTTAAAGTAAGCAAATACTCCTCCAAGTATATCTTACACCTTTTAGAGAGAATAGAAATACTGTTAAATTTTAGAGAATGTAAGTTCTTTTACGGGAAGATGACATATAAAGTACCTTGCTAGAATAGTCAAGTTGGGAGTCAAAGGAATGAGCATCTTTTTAGTTCTTGAAGTTACTGGAGAAGGGAGAAATGGTTCAGTCAGTATAACCCTGACAATAATTCTACAAAGTAGATAGTACTGTTGTCCATGAACTTCTTTGTGTTGCAGATTACAGAAAGAAATAAAGTAGTAAACATCTTGATTTATTGGGCAAATCTTCATTCACATTTTACTGATAAAGATATTGGTTAGGATTTTTTTAGTGCAGTATCTTGGGTAAGACTTTAAGGAAAACTATGATGATTACATCTCACTTTACTTGACCCAGGCTTTTTACCAAGATTATTTGCCCACTTTTGATATCAGTTATAAACAAAGTAAGTTATAGTAGAATTGTCTTGGTTTGTATTCCATCTAAACTTACAGCCCTTGTAAGCTGTCTATGGTTTTGAGTATGTTGGAGAAAGTGTTTTAAGTTCTGAAGACCGTTATGTATTTTTACTTTTCACTGCTTTAAGATAATCCCTGGAATCTATTAAGGTTTATAATTTGCTTTAATTTTACTGACTCTTAAATATGATAATGCAAAATATCAGAAAGTAATACCACATTCTAGCTTTCCCACATCAGATGGTGATGTTAGCCTAATTTAAAAACAAAAAAATTGATGGGGTGCCTGGGTGGCTAGTTGGTTAAATATCCGACTTTTGATTTCAGCTGAGGTCATGAGCTCATGGTCCTGAGATCTAGCTCCATGTCTTTGGGAATGTAGCCTGCTTAAGATTCTCTCTCCTCCTCTGCGCTTCCCTGCTCCGTGTGTGCATGTGCACACACGCCCTCAAAAAAGAAAAAAAGAAAAAATTAAAAACAAATTGTTTTAGTCTACCAGAAAATATACTTAACTTTGTTATTGGTTGATGTGTATGCACGGATTGATTTTGGAGAAATTAAATATCTATTCGGTTGAGAATTCAACCCAGTTGAATATGACCCTTTTGAGACTTAAGATAAGTTTTATGTGGTTGTAGGTCTATGTTAACATTTCTGATTCCCTATTTTCCTTAATTTACTTTTTAGTTTATTTAGCTACTAGTTAACTTCTTTTTTCCCCCATAACTTTTTTTTTTTTTTTTTTTTTTTTTTTTTTTTTTTTTTTTTTAAATAGCCTCCACACTTAGTAAGGGGCCCAATGCAGGGCTTGAACTCACTATCCTGAGATCAAGACCTGAGCTGAAATCAAGAGTCAGAGGCTTAACCAATTGATGCACCCAGTTGTGCCCCTTCCCCCAGCACATATTATATTTAGGTGTCTCTAAATAACATTTATGTACATCAATACTTTTTTTTTTTTTAATTTTTTTTTTCAAGGTTTTTATTTTTATTTTTGGGACAGAGAGAGACAGAGCATGAACGGGGGAGGGGCAGAGAGAGAGGGAGACACAGAATCGGAAACAGGCTCCAGGCTCTGAGCCATCAGCCCAGAGCCCGACGCGGGGCTCGAACTCACGGACCGCGAGATCGTGACCTGGCTGAAGTCGGACGCTTAACCGACTGCGCCACCCAGGCGCCCCTGTACATCAATACTTTGAAGTCAAGATACTTGATCTTATTTATGTATTAATAAATAAGCACATATATTTCTATAACACAGATTTGTTTTTCAATATATTGACAACTATTTCAATATGATTTTTTAAGGTTTTACTTATTTAAGTAATCTCTACACTCAACATGGGGTTTGAACTCATGACCCCGAGACCAAAAGTCACATGCTCTTCTGAATGAGCCAGCAAGGTGCCCCTCAATATGATTTTTTTAATTGAGTTATAGTTGACATATATTTTATTAGTTTCAGGTGTACAACAAAATGATTTGATGTTTGTGTATACTGTCAAATGGTCACCGCAGTAAATCTAGTTATCATCTGTCACCAGGGTTAACAATTTTTTTTTTACTTGTGACGAGAACTTTTAATATGCAATACAGTATTATTAACTGTAGTCACCATACTGTACATTATATCCCCATGACTTCTTTGTTTTAAAACTGTAAGTTTGTACCTTTTGACACTCTTCACCCATTTTTCCCACTTCACATTCCCTGCCACTGGCAACTACCAATCTGTTCTCTGTATCCATGAGCTTGTTTTGGTTATTGTATTTTTTATGTTTATTTATTTTTGAAAGAGAGAGGGCATGCTCATGAGTGGGGGAGGGGCAGAGAGGGGGGGGACAGAGGATCCAAAGCAGGCTCTGGACTGACAGCAGATAGCCCAACGCAGGGGTTAAACTCAAAACTACAAGATCATGACCAAGCTGAAGTCAGACACTTGGCCAACTGAGCCACCCAGGCACCCCTGTTGTTATTGTTTATAGGTTACACATATAGGTGAAATCATATGGTATTTGTCTTTCTTTTTCTCTCTGACTTATTTCACTTAATGTCTTCAGGGTCCATCCTCATTGTTGCAAATGGCAAATTCCATTCATTTTTTGGATGAATAATATATATGTATATATGCCACCTTTTCTTATTATTTTTTTGTTAATGTTTATTTGAGAGAGAGGGAGACAGAGGAGAGGCAGAGAGAGAGGGAAACACAGAATCCAAAGCAGGCTCCAGGCTCTAAGCTGTCAGCACAGAGCCTGATGCGGGGCTCAAACTCACAAACCATGAGATCATGACCTGAGCCGAAGTCGGACACAGCTAACTGGGCCACCTAGGCACCCTATACCATCTTTTCTTTATCCATTCATACATTGATGGACATTTAGGTTGCTTTCATGTCTGGGCCATTATAAATAATGATGCAGTGAACATAGGGTTGCATCTATCTTTTTAAGTTAGTGTTTTCATTAGTTTGCTTCTTTGTTGCTTTTACCAAGAATTGTATTTTTCAATTCTCTAGAACATTCTTTATTTGAAAGTGAAGTTGGGTTAATTGTAAGTGTATATTGCAAACTCTAGGGCAATTGCTAAAAATATTTTAAGTATAATTGATGTGCAAAGACAAGAGAAAAAGTAGAATTGTGTAAAATGTTCAGTTAAAATGAGAGAAGGCAGGAAAATGGAAGACAGAGAGGACAAAAGCAATGCATAGAATACAGTAACAAATATGCAAATATTAATCCAGTATATCAGTAATCACTTTAAATGTGAATGGACTAAATACACCAATCCAGGCAGGACTGTCAAAGTGGATGAAAAAACAAGACTCAGACTCTGTGTTTTCTACAAGAAACTCATTTGATACATAAGGACCCTGATAGATTAAAAGTGGAGGTATGGAGGAAGATACACCATGCTAACACTAATCAAAAGAAACCAGGACTTTATTAATTTAAGACGAAGACTTCTGAGCAAGGAAAATGACCAGGGCTTACAAGGAACATCACATGTTGATAAAACTGCCAATTCTCTGAGAAGACATAATAGTCTTTAATATATATGCACCTAACAACATCATCACAGTGTATGAGGCAAAAACTGATAGAACTGCAAAAAGAAATAGATCATGACCTGAGCTGAAATCAAGAGTCAGACACTTCACCGACTTAGCCACACAGGCACCTTCAGAAAAAAATTTAACAAAAGAACAAAGATTACCTATTTTATAGAGAAAGAAATAAATATAACAAAATTCACATAATTTAAAAATATCATAGTGTCTGGGAAGAGCCCCAGTCTTACATTAGAGGCAAGGAATTAACTTCTTACACCTCCATAAATGCTGAAAGTACATGTGATTAAATGTATTAGAGCAAAACAGTTTATTACAGCACTGCAAACAAGAGCATCAGCATTATTGTACTGGATTTCTTTATCTCCAAGTCCCACAGAGCAATGTGATGGAGCTGGGTGGAGACTACACCTGCAGTGAGTTTTGCCATAGCTGAGAAGACCAGGAGGAGAATGCTGAGCGTCGTCTGTAGCAAGCCACAAACAAGGCAGACCTCAATGGA